ATCCATCCATCCATCATCCACCATCCATCCATCCATCAACCACCCATCTACCCATCCATACATCCATCATCCACCCATCCACCATTCATCCATCACCCACCATCCATCCATCCATCATCAACCATCCATCCATCATCCACCATCCATCCATCCATCCATCATCCACCCATCCACCATTCATCCATCACCCACCATCCATCCATCCATCATCCACCATCCATCCATTATTCACCCATCCACTCATCTATACACCCATCCATCCACCCACCACCTATCCATCCATTCATATACCCACTCACACATCCCTTATCAGATCACCCACCCATCTGCCCATCATTCATTCATCCATCCTTTATCCACTTGCCCAGCCATTATCTAGCCATCTACCCACCCACCCATCCATCCATCCATTTATCCACCTACCTATTATCTAGTTGTCCATCCACCCATTCATTCACCCATCCACTTGTCTGTGCACCCACCATCCATCCATCCATCCATCCATCCATATATCCACATCCACACACCCTGACCACTAATCTGGGCTGGTGTTTGCTGGCCCACTTCATTTACCCACATATAACTGTAAAGAAAGATTGTGTCTATACCAATGAGAGAGAGTTGCTCTCATGATTAAAGAAAAAAAAATTACACTAGGAAAACATAAAAATACCCCAGCATTTCTGTGTGTGTCACTGGAGGTTGAACCCAGGACATTCACAGGGAGCTACATCCCCAGCCCTTTTTGAATTCTTTTTATCTTGAGACAAGGTCTCACTAAGTCCCTATATTGTCCAGGCTGAGCTCAAATTTGTGATCTTCCTGCTTCAGCCTCCCAGAGGGCTGGGATGATGGGTGTGCGCCCCTGCGCCTGGCTGCAAATATCCCAGCTTTTATACTCATTGAGGGGACGGGACATGGGCTAGGCCAGGCTGGCCCCCAAAGGCTGGCGAGGGTGTAGAAAGGAGGCTAATTCGGTGAGTGACTGGCCAGGTGCCTGAGCCACCACCACCTACATCCCGGGCCACCGCCAATGCCCAGCGACTTCGGATGGCCTCGCGCCTACCAGAGGGAAAGACAGAAGCGCAGACGGTGCACAGAACAGGGAGCAGGCTCAGTGCCACTCACCGTTGAAGGCCGCCATTGTCTTTGCACTGATCAGCTCATAGTGGGTGACCGCCAGGGCCTGTCTGAACTTTAAGCTGGTTTCTCTGGTGGCCAGAGGGGAAAGGGGGCAATAAAAATGGGGCACCTAACGATTCCCTGGGGCCAGGAGCCATGCCCGCTCCCAGGTTTTGGCTGAGCACATACCGTGTACCAGCTCTCAGCCAGAAGCTGGAGGCCCAGAGAGGGAGAGGGCCTTGTCCAAGGCCACACAGCATATTTGCCCTGAGCTATACCCCTCGCCTTTTCTTATTTTCTATTTTGAGTCAGAGTTTCGCCAAGTTGCCCAGGTTGAACTTGAACTTGAGACCCCCCTGCCTCAGCCTCCCAGAGCTCTGGGATGACCTTGCTCCTTCTTTTGCTTTTTTCTTATACCCCGTGCTGGCTTGGCAGCTTCCTCATTTGTAGCTGGGGTGGGAGCTCCCCTGGCCCAGCACCCAAGACCCCAGGCCCCGCCTCGCCGTCGCTTCCTACCCATCGATGTCGGCAGTCTCCACATAGCACAAGCTGCTGGGTTCCGTGCTGGCCAGCAAGAGCAGGTCGGCCTGGGTAGATGGGAAGGGAGAAAAGCGCAGAGGGTGGTGGCGGGTGAGGGGGGGGTGCCCAGCCTGCCCGGGGTCGCCTGTGGCCCAGCCTCGACTCACCGGGACGATGCTGTCCCTGGTAAGACACACCACATCCCCAACACACAGGTCTTTCCATTTCCGCCACTTGAAGCTGTGGGAGGACAGGCGTGGGGAGCGGGGGCTGGGGTCTCCGGGCAGAGGTGTGGACCCTGGGTGAGGGTCCACAGACGGGGACGGGGAAGTGGCCAGGTCCACTTTGCTCTTTGCTTCCCAGGGACCCCGCCAACCCCCTCCGGACCTTTGCTCCTCCAGGACCAGCCCAGCCGCCACCCCCCTGCACGCCACCACCCGCTTGGGTCCGGTTTCCTGTCTGTGACCCCCAGTGTCCCCCATGCCCGTCCCTTCCAACCTCCCCACCCGCAACCGAGCTCTACACTCCACGAGCCTCTTTGTCCCTATCCCAAGGGCTACCCCAGGCCTGGCAGACAGCAGGCACCTAATGGATGCTGGTCAGGCCCAACCAGGACGCCCAGGAGCGTAGAGCACACTGGCCATTCTGCAGCCACCACTGCCCCGCCGGGGGGCACATCTGTGTCCCTAGATGTCCCCACATGGCTGCCCCAGCCTCACCTCTTCCCAATGAGCATCTGGCAGGGCCGGTTGTTGATGATTCTGTCACTCCTGTGTCGCCCCTGGGCCCAGGGAGTGGCGTCAGAGGCAGCCCTGTGTCCCCTGCCCCCATGCTGTCCCCACCCCGACCACAGCAAGGTGTCCCTGCTGGCCGATCCCAGGGTGTCTGCTCAGGGAACAAAAACCTAGAGGCCACCTAAACACAGCAGCCGACAGAGTCAGAGGGCACCTGGATGCAGGACGAGGAGACAGAGCCGTCTTCCCAGGCCCACGGCCCCCGAAGGCGCAGCCCACCCCCTGTGCCAGCCCCGGGCTCCGGAGACCTCACTCACAATGTCATCCACCAGGTCGCGGGTGGCACGGATGAGGAGGAGACAGAGGAGCGGGATGAAGAGGGTGATCCATGGCAGCGTGGAGATCTCGGGGATGCTCTGCAGGAACACGGGTCAGAGCGGCCCCTCCCTCCTGTGTCCCCACTCCTGCAAGTCAGGCCCCCCCGACCACCCAGCCGCCTCTCTGAGCAGGGACCCAGCAACAGTAGGGTGTGGGGATGTCCACATTGACCGCCAGCTGCCCAGACGGGGACGGGGAAGTGGCCAGGTCCATAGAACGCTGCAGCCAGGGCAGTCAGGGAGGCCTCCTGGAGGAGGCGCTGGGGACACAGCTGGGATGGTGGGGGTGGCACAGGCCCCGGACCCCTGCAACTTGACCCACCTGCAAGATGACGATTAAGAGGAAGTAGAGGTTGGACACGCGGTGGAACTGCTCATACAGGTTCAGAGGCAGGAAGGAGAAGATGCTGTACTTGGCCGTGTGGATACCATTGGTCTGGAAAGAGAGTGGGGTGAGGTGGGGGTGGCATCAGGGCTATGCAGGTGCAAGGTCACCAGCCTGGCATGACGTCACTCAGCGGGGCCCCGCCAGCATTCGTTACGCACCTATACTGAGCAGCTGCTGAACACCAGGCCGCAGCCGGCGCTGATTACGCAGCTGATAAATACAAGGCTTCAAGCCAGCACTTGCGGATCACCCGCTGAAAGGCAGGGTCTCAGGCCACAACTTACTGAGCGTCCATGGCATGCAAAGCCTCAAGCCAGCATTAATGGAGCTCTTGCTGGGTACCGGGAGCCATGGGGCTATGACCCCAGGATTTCCCAAAATGAAGCCCCTCGTGGTGTTTGGGTAGGGCTGGGATGGATTCGCTGGCCCTGCAGGACTGTGCATTAACTGATGCTAATGAGTGCTGGACAGTGCCAAGGAGAGGCACACCAAGCAGTAATTTGATAAGAAGGGACACTATAGCAAGGCATGGTGCTGCACGCCTGTCATCCCCGGACTTGGGAGGCTGAGGCAGGAGGGTCATCAGCCTGGTCTACAGAATGAGACCTGTCTCAAAAAAGGGGAGGCCAAGCGTGGTGGTAATCCCAGCATTCAGGAGGCTGAGGCAGGATTGCAGCGAGTTCAAGGCCAGCTTAGGCTCCAAAGTGAGTTCAAGGCCAGCCTGAACTGCCTATCAAAAAGACAAAAGGGGTGGGGGTGATGCAGTACAGTGCCTGTGACGAAAAGCATCAAGCCAATGCAAGTAACGGGCAGAACTCAGGGAGCACAAACGCAAGACCGTGAGAGGGTCATGGGGCGCCGCGTGGCCCACCTGGTACTTCCTCCTGCGCCAGCACAGGAAGCCCTTCTCCCGGAACTGCTGGTGGTATGCGGCGTTGTTCGCCTTCACTTCCCAGGTGAATGCTGCAGCGAGAGGGGAGGGGTGTCGCTGCTGCACAGGGTGAGGACAAACACCCTAACAATGCCCAGGAGGACGACTAATGGGCCCCCCTGGGGCCCTGGCACTGGAGATCCCCAGCCCAAGATGTCAAACAGCTCGTAAACAAGACAAAGGCACCACTGCGGGTCCTGGCCAGCCTGTGTGGCAGGTGCATGTGGATCCCAAGAGGGGTCCCTGCCGCCTCAAGGCCCTGGAGACCCAGGAACGCCCATTTATCTTACAGATGGGGTAAACTGAGGCCTGGTGACAGGCTCCCAGCATCCGAGGCCACACACTCACCAAATCTGAAGTGTATCATTTCCGGATAAGCACAGTTCGTTACAACCCCTGGCAAGTCGCGTAAGTATGTGCTGGGGTCCCCCACCCCCTTGCCTCCCTTGCTTCTCCCCACCCCCTCCCCGGCCTGTCATGCACCTGTGTCCTTGTTGTCCTGAAGATCTTCTCCAGTGGTAGCCCTGCCCATGCTGGTGGGGCTGTCCAGGGACAGAGGTCCAAGGTCAAGGTCACACTGAGGGCCCCAGCCTGTGCTGGGTGTTGTCCTTAAGAAGCTTAGCGCCTATGGGTCACTCTTCTAAAATGTCACCTTCCATGTCCATCTGTGGCCCCCTCCCCAGACTCTGAAGGTCCAGCCGCTGTGGTTCCCCACCCTGTGGCCAGACTCCCTCGCCTCTCAAGAGCTCAGTGTGAAATTAGGTGTTTGATCCATGTTTGTTGACTGACCAAATGAAGCCCAGTCTTATATATTATATCGCAGAGCAGTGTCTGTGTGGGTCAAGCCTCTAGGGGCTGTTTGCAGCCACCTAGAGCACAGCCACCCTGCTGGGGTGCTCAGGGCTCACGGGCAAGCAGAAACAGACTAGAACCTCCTGAAGAGCCGGCAGCCTGTCACTAACAGACTGAGGGACCTGAGTCTGGCTTTACACTCAGGGGCCTGGTCCAGTCCCCAGGAGAGGCGCAAACCGCCCACAAAGCAGGAGGCCCCGCAGCCCTCGGAACGACCCCCACCCTCCCTCCAGCACTCGGCCGCCTCCTCCTCGCCAAGCCCCGGCACAGCTCCTCTGGCTACGAGGCCCCCCGTCCTCACCCTTCTGGTCTCATTTCATACTCCCCAGAACGGCCTGGCTGTCTCCTGCGCTTCCTCCGGGGGTCCTCTCTGCCCGGGGAGTCCCCCATCCTGTCTGGTCACCTGCTCTCCTCTCCTTCTCTGCCTGTCTGGTCGCCTGCTAAGCCCCAAATCTCTCTAGGGGACAGAGACTGAGTCACGGGTGTCCCCAGGGTCCCCTTGCACAGGGCCAGCTCGGGTCCTCCTGGGTGCCTCGGCAGAGACTGTGCCCAATCACCAGAGGAGGAAAAGAGAGACTTCAGCGCACGGGGGTTGGGGGACGTCGGCAGTGGGAGGGGGGGGGGGCTGGGGGGGGAGACGCTCAGATGGCCAGAATCCCCCAAAATGTGTGTGGATACAGAAACACACAGATCTCACTTATCCCACACCCCACTCTCAACTCACTAGATGCCTCATTAACCAGAAGCTGGGGTCTTCCCCCTGGAGCAGCTGCGCAGGGTCAACGCCTAGAGTGCAGCCCCGGCCTCCCCGGCACGGAAGACCCGGGGTGCAGCAGACGTCGAGTTCTCTGCGCCTCCTCTAGGCCCCGGCCGTGCTAACCTCTAGAGGGCGCCCTCTCCTCCACCGCTGCATGCCCTGCCTTCAGGCCGGCGGGACCCACACAGGGTGAGCGGGCGCCCCGGGATGCACAGCTTTGGGAGTGTGGCTGCTCACCTGCGCCGCCCGCAGTGATGGAGCTGTTAGTCCCGGGCCAAACGGCCTGGAACGCGCGAGGCGGGGGGCGGGGGCGGCAGAAGAAGGCTGGGCCAGGCTCCGGGGGGCGGGGCGGGGCCAGGGTAGATGGGCCGAAAGGAGCTTGGCTGAGGCCATCCAGGCTCCAGGGGCGGGGCCAAGTAGAGTGTGGGCGGGGCGGGGCCGGGCTTCAGGGGAGGGGCGGATCTCAGGGCGTGGCCATGACGGAAGACGGGCCTGGAGGGGCCAAGGAAGGAGGCGGTGCCTTGTGTTGTCCAGGCAGAGGAGGGCCGGCCCTAGGGGTGGGGCTTGGAGAAACGCGGTCCTGCAGGGCCTTGCAGAATGCGGGCGGGGGCG